TGCAAAAAAACAGAGATAAACACAGATGCTCTCCTCCTCTCTGCAACTGGGTTTGTTTCCCCGACAGAGGAAATCATTGACCAACACACCAAAAACAGCAACAAGGCTATGTATGGGCATGACAAACTATATAGCCTACAAAAAGAACTGCAGAACTCCGTAACAGATGCAGCTGCGAACAAACAAACAGATGAACAAATGAACGATCAGCACCCGCGGGCAGCGCCGCGGCACGTGACGCACAAACCTGCTGCAGAAGTGTTCAACCTTTACGGTGCACTCCCCTCTCACAGGGTGCACTCCCCTCTCACAGGGCGCCCTTCCCTCTCAGGGTGCACTCCCCTCTCACAGGGTGCCCTTCCCTCTCAGGGTGCCCTTCCCTCTCAGGGTGCCCTTCCCTCTCAGGGTGCCCTTCCCTCTCAGGGTGCCCTTCCCTCTCAGGGTGCCCTTCCCTCTCACAGGGCGCCCTTCCCTCTCACAGGGCGCCTGCACCCCTTGCAGGAGACAATGGTCATGTTTTTCTTGCAGTGCGTGATTGTCTGACACTGCCTCCTTCTCAGCGCTTGTGGATGCTGTGGCTTAGTGGGCACCGACGTCAGACTGGCCTTGACACGCAGGTGTTCCCCTCTCTCTGCCGGCTCAAGAATGAGCATGTATCTATCTGTCGCTCTGTTAAACTCCTGCGCGCATATATATATATATATATATATATATATATTTTTTTTTTTTTAAATATATTTTTTATAAGTCTATAAATAGAAACAATAACTAATAAAAAATAAAATGACACGCGAAAACAATCCAGAGAAATTTATCATTTTCAACTGCCGTCCATATGAAGGCGGCGGCTAGAGGTATAAATGCTCAGAAATCTTGCGTTTTATTTTAGTTACACATATTTAAGGAAAGTCATTGGTCGGTCTCTCTCTCATCCTCTGTCCTTGAAGGAGAGCGCAGTCCGCTGCAGCCTCTGTCCTTGAAGGAGAGCGCAGTCCGCTGCAGCCTCTGTCCTTGAAGGAGAGCGCAGTCCGCTGCAGCCTCTGTCCTTACAGGAGAGCGCAGTCCGCTGCAGCCTCTGTCCTTACAGGAGAGCGCAGTCCGCTGCAGCCTCTGTCCTTACAGGAGAGCGCAGTCCGCTGCAGCCTCTGTCCCTGAAGGAGAGCGCAGTCCGCTGCAGCCTCTGTCCTGAAGGAGAGCGCAGTCCGCTGCAGCCTCTGTCCCTGAAGGAGAGCGCAGTCCGCTGCAGCCTCTGTCCTTACAGGAGAGCGCAGTCCGCTGCAGCCTCTGTCCTTACAGGAGAGTAGGACATGGAGCGAGAAAGCCCGAGCCACCCAAGCCCTTCCAGAGAGGGGGCGTGGTCAGCTCATTTACATATTTAAAGGTACAGACACAGAAACTCTGACACTTATTTACATTGAAGAAGAGGAGGAGGATATGTTACCTTTTCTCTCTCTCATTAGATGACAACAGGTGGAGACTAAATATTCTCAAACAGGTTGTTGGTATAAAAGTTTTCATTTTTATTGTGCTGCACTATTTTTTTTTTTTGATTTGGGTAAATGTCAGAGTTGTAGTTGTGTTAGTTTAAGTGTCAGTTCTAGCCCTTAATAGTCCTATAGTGTGGCTGCAAACAGTCAATAATAAATAACCTCCTGCGTAAGGTTGTAGAAATAGGCCTACAGTGTATTTTAACATCTACCATAATGATGGTACTTGGAGAGCCAAATATTTTTGGAGGTGGTACACAGTCTAAAAAGTTTGAAAACCACTGGACTAAACCTACTTATGTCCAAACAAATCCAGAGCATTCAGGAGCAGAATGTAAAGTTAGAAGGAGGACATACTGGCTGCTGCATTGTTGTCAGAGAAGCCAGCACTTCAACATGTTTCCTTAATGTTTAATTAAAGGTCACTTACTGACAGCACGAGGTCTCCCTCGGCCAGCGCGTAGTTTCTGGTCATCAGCTCTGTGACAATAAAATAAGAAGAAACAACAAAAACTCGATGAACATGTTTCCTTCCTGTAAGACCTCTTCTTCTCACCTGCAGATCTGATGCAGGTAAAGAAGAAACCTCACTCGTCTGAACACTCAGAGACGACTCACCGTCTAAAGTCTCGGGGGTTTTCTTCATATACTCCAACGCTCTGATGAACCCGTCTCCCTGCGGCGCTGCAAGAACACACAAAACACACACAGGTGTTCAGTAAAAGAACACACACACCTCACATACGTAAACATCTTGATCATACCTTTTGTGGTCTCTTCAATGGGACCAGCGTCGACTGAAACACATGACAGAACAAATCAAACGTTTGCTTTTGCAGAAACTGAGCGGTCGCTGTCGTTTTCTTTCTTACCATTTTGAAGGTGTGGAACAAAGAGAAGAGCAGAGAGGAGCAGCTGCAGCATGATCTCAGACAGACTGAAGCTTCTGAGTCCTCCCACCTTGTTAGGATCATTTAAATCACCTGTGAGCTGCAGCTGCCTTGTTAGTCCTGAAGCTGAGAGGAGGAAACATTTAGACTGAGGTCTGTAGAGAGCAGAGAGTGCTGAGGCAGGAGCTGAGGATGTGACACAGTTAGACATCTAGTTCATCATTTAACATTTGGCACATAGCTGACTTGTTAGTAATCCTTTGGGCATTGTAGTGGAAAGTCGATGTTAAACCAGACTCAGAGGAGGGAGATCGACCTCCCGACCTGATCAAGAAGGTCGGGGAAGGCAAGAAACTTTGGAGAAGGAAAAAAGAGGGCGACATATTTTAAAGGGGACATATTCTGAAAAGTCCACTTGTACAGTGTTTCTGAAATATATGTGTGTAACCTGAGAGTCTACTGACCACAACATGTGAAATAAACCATCCAGTCCTTTGTGGTCTGCAGAAGTCTGACAACACAGAGAAGCTCTGTTTCAAATGTCTCCCTTGTGATGTCACAGTGGGATTCTGGTAAAAAAAATACCCTCCCCTCCCCTGGTATCTCCACCCATAGACTCCAGATACATATTTATATTTCATCTACCTGTGGAGGTCAGAAACACGCCGAGATGCGTCTAAAATGCTGTAATAACTAAAAGAAGAAGGATCATTACTACATTTCAGAGGAAATATTACGATTATATGTATATATATATATATATTATATATATATATATAAATATATATATTATATAATATAATATTAATAAAGGTTAAATACAAATAAAAAAATACACATTTCTACTCATATATCACAGCTGTGAAACTA